GGAGAGAAGAGAGAGAAACATCGATGTGAGAGAGAAACATTGATTGGTTGCCTCCCATACTCACCCTGACTTAGGATCCAACCTAAAACTTTGGTATGTGCCCTGACCAGGAATTGCACCTACCACCTTTTGATTTATGGGGCAACACTCCACTCAGCTGAGCCACACTGGCCAGGGCCCTAACATCCTTTTTGTGTCCAAGGATCTCATCCAGGCTGATACATTATATTGAATTGTTATGTTTGTTAAGGTTCTTTTTGATGGTGACAGTTTCTCAGATTTTCCTTGATTTGATGACCTGACCAACTTCGAGGAGTACTGGTCGGGTATTTTACAAAAGGACCCTCCATTGAGACTTGTTTGATTTTTTTCTCATTATTAGATGGGGTTATGGGTTTTGAAGAAGAGGCCCACAGAGGGAAAGTGTCATTTTCTGCACCTATGTGTACCAAGGGTTCATACTATTAACATGATTATCACTGTTGATGTTGACCTTGATGACCTGGCTGAGCCAGTGTTTGTCAGATTTTTCTGTTGTGAAGTTATCATCCCCCTTTCCACACTGTACTCTTTGAAAGGAAGTTATTATGTGCAGCCCACTTTTAAGAAGTGGGGAGTTAACTATGAAAATTGTTAGGAATTCTTCCCCATGGGAGATGTGTTTATTCTCTCCCACTTATTTATCTAATCAATAATTTATATCAGGATGAGCTTGTGGATATTTACTTTATGATTTGGGTTATAATTCAATACTACATTATTTATTTTGCTGTTCAAATTGTTCCAGCATTGGGAGCTCTTTCTGTTGTCTCCTGTGTCTCTTTGACATCCTCTCATAATTGTGGGGTGTTTTGTGTCAGTTTCTTTGTTTTCTAAGCACTGTCTTCCTTTCTGGCACTAAAAGATGCTACAGGATCATCTTTTAAATTTCCTGCCCCAGTCCTAGAATCAGCTACTTTCTGAGGAGCCCTCCTAATGTATGTTTCGTTTGTTCCTTTGCTATAGTTTATAAAATATTTTGGTCACCCCTGTGCTTGGCACTTGACATACATTGTCTTTCTTTGTTCTCATGTCAACACCATTAGGTAACCTTTAACTTCATTTCATAAATGTAGAAACTGAGGCTCAAAGAATGTAAATGATTTACACACAGCCACACAGTTAAACATGGAGTTGTGATTCCAGCCCAGGTCTGTGTGGCTCCACAGCTTACACTTTGAACCTTCACTCCACAAAGCCAGCCTCAGCCTCCCTTGTTATCCAAGTTAACATTAGATGGAAACTATGCTATTGTGAACCACCCTGAAAAGATGAAAGCCAGCCAATCTCTCCTCTGGGAAGACCCTCAGGATTCTCATCACACTGATCCCTTTCTTCTCTGAACTTCCTTTGCACTGAGAGTTGAAAGCCTTCCCTGAGTGTAGAAGTTGTTTATGCGCTATCTTGTGGTTTTCTCCGTCTATCTCAATTCCCAGATCAGGTGGCTAGCTCCTCAGAGAGCAAGGCAAATAGACCACCATCTAGGATTTTCAGAACAGACTGTGGTGATATAGCTGCCATCAAGGACAAATATTGAAGTATGTACCGTTCATATCAGGAAAGCATAGATATCAATTGAAGTGATATCATGTTGTTGTTATGGTAACTTTGCATTGACTTAGTTTCCCCCTGGGCAAGGAGCTTCTCAAAGATAAAGGTCATATCTTTTCCATTCTACAGGGCCTAGGATAGTATATAACATGTTCTAGGTACTTAGTGTATACAAAATGCTTAACATTTATTCACTTCAGGAAAAGAAACATGTGCAAGTAAGGAAAAGGATGTCACACAATCATAATAATGTTGGTTCTGAATATTGATTTAGCTGAAGTTGTAAGGAAGAATCCATACCATTGCTGAAATTCAGTGGGATAATGTCTAAAGTTGATAAATCAATAGATCACATAGAAGCATGATTAGGGCCACAACAAATTGGGGCTTGGGACAATTAAGTTACATGCCCAAAGTCACCCAACTAGGAAATGGTAGAGATTAGAAGTGGGATGGGCTGATGCTAGGTTTCTCCTGCTCACATGGCACAGAGTGAGTGCTCAGTTGCGTGGGCCATGAGTTTGTTGATGGTGGAGAATGCATAGAATAAGCCACAAAACAGTAAGTCATTTTCTCAAGGCTCCACACTGGTTATGGTGATGCTGTCCATCCAGTCCTCTGATTCCAGGTTGCTCTTCTCTCTGTGGCATCATGTTGTTGACTCTACAGTGGTTCTCAACCTTGGCTGCACATTAGAATCACCTGGGAGTCTTTTTAAAATCCTGATTTCTGGGCCTCATCCTCCAGAAATTCTGTTTCTTTGTTACTAATGTTGTGGCCTCACCCCATAACAAAAACAAAACAAAACAGAATTTCTTGACACATATAACCTCCTGTTCAGGTTCCAAGCTCTGAATTCTCACATTTCTTACATTGTTTTTAAGTTGTAAGTACAATCACTAAGCACTGCGGAAGCAATGCCAAAGGAACTATTTCTGGCTGATTGTTGTCTTCTAATGGACAGAAGAAAACCTATGTCAATATTAGATTTAATGTATTTCTTCTACTCTGATCTAATTTAAAAACAAACAAAACAAAGCTTTTCATCTGGCAAAATGTGAATTTGAAGGCACTGTGGGAGATTATGGTGAATCTGTGATGGCCCTGATGTGGCAGAGGTCATCATCTGTCCCCCCAACACTAGGAAAACAGCTCTCACACAAGGCTACTGGATACTCAGGGCCTGAGTGGGTCACGGACACTGGTTACCCATTTTATCAGTTGACCTTGGCTGAGAGAGACCTTAACTCTAGACTATTTGTCTATGGAAAACTGCCTTGGCATTGGCCACCTCATCCCCTCATTCACCTGTGGAACCACCTCAGGCCTGGGTGTGGGCTGCCTGTCAAGATAGCCCTGCCTTATGCAGGCAGTAGGCTGGGCTCACTGATACGGTCCTACACCCACCAGTTTCAGAAGGAAAAGACACCAGACAATCAGCCCACATCCTTCCTACCTCCATGACCTCCTTTTTGCATTTCATTTTCATAAAACCATATCTATGTTCTTTTCAAAGCTCAGCTCAAGCATTCTCATTTCCTTTGCTTCCCACTCCACAGCTTCACAAATAATCTTACTCTTCAGGAAAGTTCCCCACACTTTGTTTGTAACTCCCTAATCACCCTACTGTTCTCTGCCTGGTGTCATATGGGTGCCCATCTCATTGACTTTAAAAGTAAAGACCAAGTCTTGCCTGTCTTCAGTTCCCTCCCAACTCTTAGGACAGTGATTTTTCTTCCTAAGTCTGGGACTCAGTGGATACTGGGATTGTTGAATTTCAGGCACATGTATGCCATGTGGTAACAAAGGTTTAGAAAGACAAGAATACCCACATTCTTTTTTCTAATAACAGCTATCTGATTACTGACATGTTCTGTCAGGGATTCATCCTTTAGTTATGGCTTTAATTTACTCCAGGTTAGGGAGAACACTAAGCCAGAGGCAAACTATGGCGTGTGGGCTAAATCCAACTCTCTGCCCATTCTCATATGGAATAATTTTTATATATTTTTTCTTTCTTTAATTGGATTCATTGGGGTGACATTGGTCAATAAAATTATATACTGCCTTGGCCAGGTGTCTTAGTTGGTTGGAGCATCATACCGTACGCCAAAGGATTGCTGGTTCCATTCCAGGTCAGGGCACATATCTAGGTTGCAGGTTTGATTCCCGGTCAGGGAACATACAAGAGGCAAGCTATCAATGTTTCTTTCGCACATTGATGTTTCTCTGTCTCCCTTCCTCTCTCTAAAAATTATAAACATATTATCGGGTGAGGATTAAAGAAATAGTAAAAATACAATTATATAGGTTTCAGGGGTACAATTCTATAATACATCATCTGTACATTGTATTGTATGATCACCACCCCAAGCCAAGTCTCCTTTCCTCATCATTTATCCCTCTTTAACCCTCTCCTACCTCCCCCTACCTCCCTTTCCCTCTGGCAATCTAATTTTTACATTTTTCGATGATTGGTGAGGAAAAAGAAGAAAAATACTTTATGACACAGTAAGATCACATAAATTTGAAATTTTAAATTATATGAAATTCAGATGTCATTGTTGATGAATAAAATTTTATGGGAATGCAGCCATACCCATTTGTCTGGCAAAATGTGTCTGTGGCTGTTTTGCAGCAAAACAACAGTTAGCAGTTGAGTAGTTACCACAGAGACTGTACATCCCACAAAGCCTAAACTGTTTACCATCAGACCCTGTGCAGAAAAAGTCTGCCAACCCCTGTTCTGAGTCATCCTCAGCAATGTCTACGATGGTGTAAAGAGGAGTTGGGTGATCTTTTTGATAAAGGAGGGAATTGGGGGAAAGCACAGAATGCCTGAAGGAAAAGAAACTTGGAAACAAGAGAAGGAAGGAAACAGGTCTCTGGGTTTTGTGCATCTGGGTGGCAAAAATCTCCACTAAGCAACCTCAGTCTTTGTGGATTCTCACAGATGGTGGACATCAGCAGGGCAGATATTGGCTATTTTACACAAGCTTTCTGGTCTCTATTGACTCTGCATGGTTCCTTTGGACAAATTATAAACTAGGAAAGATGAGAGTTGGACGTTATCAGTCATTCTTTACCATCCCATGTACCAACGCTAACTAACACCAAAGGGGGGCTCTATGTAGCCCACTTGTCGGACTCAACCATGTGTGTGGGGGGGAGTGGAGGGGGGGAATCTATGTTGAGTGTATATCTGTGTATTTCTTTAGAGGGAATTCATTTTGGATGAATGCCAATGAATTATCACACGTGGGGATCATTAAACACTTGATGTTTTTAAATAAAGACATCAATTAGAACTTGGCTAAAATCAGTGCAGCCTTTTCAGGAGTTGAGATGATAGTGTTTTGTTTAGAAAGCTGCTCTCATTTTCATGCATTTCTCCTCTTTTCTTATTACAGGGTAATGCCCTGTACTTCAAATCAGCCAGAAACGTGACAGTGAACATTCTCAATGACCAGACTAAAGTGCTAACTCAGCTGATAACAGGTAAGAGAAGAAAGAACCTCGCAGCGCCTGGTCCATGCTAAGCACTCAGAAAATGCAGAGCCAAAGCTTGAATGTACACCATGTGAACTAAATAATGCAGTGTCTGCTAACACGTTTTACAGGGTGGAGAAAGGGAAGGTAGCGTGTGCCCCATGCTTCTACCGTAGGGTAGAGTGTCTTCCTAAGGACACATTTACCGCATGCAAATCCAATGATGCTTGTTTAGGGGGAATAGACTGGCTTTCATGTAGCATCGCCCCCAAACACAAGCCAGGGGCTTCCTCTGGTACTCAACCATGGAAAAGCTCTGCTTTGGCGCTGGAAGAAAGCTGGCTGTGTTGATGAGTTGAGAGCACAGTGTATACAAAATGGTGCTCACCATACTTCATGGGGTATCAAAGGGATTTTTAATGATAGTTTGAATTCAGATGAATTTGCCAGATTCGCTGACTTTCACCTTACCTCAGCTGCAAGATGCAGATGTACCCCCACTGAATATGTTTGTGTGGCTCCTCTTCAGATAGCAGATCTGCCCCTAACAGCTGTGGAAAGCACCTCCAGGGTAGTAAGCTGCATATTCCTGAAATGTAAACAGGGATTGATTGGTCACAGTAATGCTTCGGGTGATAAACAGAGGCCTCATGGCCATGGTAACGTGCTGTGTGGTATGACCAGTGCCCCCTCGGTATGTCACGAGCAGTAGTAAACAGAAACCAGCAAGCACCTCACAGTGGAAAGGAAAAATGGGGGGGTCTGAATGGAATTGTATACGTCCAAACAGAAAATGCCATTTTGTGGCCTCCGGGCTGAGAGGAAAGTGCACAGATGGACATTTTGAGAAAGCAGTTGCCCACCTGCCCTGAATGAAATGTTACTGCGACTGAAACATCTGGAGCCCCACTCACACGCGTGGCCCAGGGAAACGGATGCCTGATGCCCAGTCGGGCTGGGGAAAGAGCCTCCCTGTTTGCCCCACAGGAGCCCTGCCTATGGCTGTCTGGGGTCCACAGCCCGTGGGTGACTTGGACCATCTACCAGTGAAGGACTCAGGGGTGGCAGGAGCAGTCCATAAACAGCTTGTTCCGGCGGGCATGCATGCGGATTGTTGGCTATGCTTACCGAACATCTGGCCCACAGTCACAATGCTAAATAATTAAATAAACAGCTTCAGTAAGCAATGATTTAAGTAGCGTGTGTGAAAATTGCCTCCAGGAGGGGAATAAATCCAACCTCCAGCTCCCAGAGTTCCACATTCAAAAGGAACTTATTTAGCCTGTTGATCATTTGCCATTTATTCGCAGTGGGAGATTTGGTTGACTTGAGAGATTTTGTTTTGATGAAGCTGAAACTGCCCAAATGACTATTTCTTAGCAAAAGGCAAAGAATCAGTTTTTCTCCCTGTTTCTTCCTCCTTCCCCACCTCCTTCCCTCCTTCCCTCCCTCCCTCCCCTCTACTATTCTCTGATCTCTCTTGCCTCCCTCCTTCCCTGTCTTCTGTTTTTCTGGCTCTCCTGCCCAAGTCAGCCCCTCTTGGGAGCTGACACACCTATCCTTAACTCTTAAGGCCAAGCACAAGATAGCTAATGTTAGCATGAGATGAGCAAAAAGCCCTTCTACCACTAGCTGGGAAGAGCCTTTCAAGATGATTTCTAAAGAGGAATAGCAGATGTGTTCAAAATATAATTCTAAGCACTCCTACACACACACCCCACCCCGAAAGTTTTCCTTCAGGCTTCTCCATTGACATTTATGCACACAGAGTTGGAGTACCAGGAGATTCTTCTAAAGTGTGTTATATTTACTGGTTTGCTTATCTGAGAGCAAATGACTCCTGTCGTCCAAGAGGCCAGGTTTACTACGGCAATCCAGAGGATTCAAGAATTCCCATTTAGCTGGTGTTGCTCAATGGTTGAATGTTGACCTAGAAACCAAGAGGTCATGTTTCAATTCCTGGTCAGGGCATATGCCCTGGTTGGGGGCATGCATGTGGATTGTTGGTGATGCTTACCGAACATCTGGCCCACAGTCACAATGCTAAATAATTAAATAAACAGCTTCAGTAAGCAATGATCCCCAGTAGGGGGCATGCAGGAGGCAGATGATTGATGATATTTCTCTCTCATTGATGCTTCTATCTCTCTTTCCCCCCCCCCCTTTATCTCTTTCAAATCAATAAAAACATTAGGGGGGGGGGGGGAAGAATTCCCGTTTACCTAAGGAATGTCCCGAAAGCCCAGAAGAAATTCCAATATTAGCAATTCAGGTACCCTTTTCCGATGAAGCAATGCTTTAAGTGATGGTTAAGTTCCCAGGCTAGACCACAAATAGATTTTTGCCTTAGACCGCTGCTGATTTTAGTGTCCGCTCAGTAGTGGGTCCTAGCAGGAAACCCTGGGACCTGCCACAATAAAATGGTGGGAGAATCTTCCACAACATCTCGCCAGAGCAGGGAAGGGACCCAGTATCAAGGGAGTTGGGGAAAGAAATTCGACTGGATAGACTGCAGGCCTTTCCGGCATCCATATTGGTGGCCTGGGCCACTGCAGATGCATCCTGGTGGGTCCCAGGTCTCCCTGTGGAGGAGATGAATGGAAAAGGTGCTTCACTTCACACACAGACTGCCATGCACAGAGGGGGTTAACTGGAGATTAGTTCCATGTTACACACAGTGGTTTTTCTACCTTAGAGAGGATCAATGGGCTTACCTCCTGAGTAGTCAGTCTCTGGTACCATTTGCATTCTCTCTAGAACAGCAATTTTCAACCTTTTTCCATCTCATGGCACACATACACGAGTTCCTAAAATTCTACAGTACACCAAAATTATATGGTTTGCCTACCTGACAAAAACAATTGGTATAATGCTGATTCATTCACATGGGATGACTATTATTGTGTTGGTAGTTGTCATTATTTGACAATCTAAGGGAAAAGAGGTCAGTGCCCCTGACTAAATAGACAGATATTAAAAATTATTGTGGCACACCAGCGTGCCAGGGCACACTGGTTGAAAAATGCTGTCCTAGAGTCTTTTTTTTTAAGATCTCACCATGTCTGAGGAGGTTTGGCAGCACCAGATGAAATTGACAAAAGTTCAAACCGTCTGCACAACTGAGCCCTCAGTATCCTGTGAGGTTTTGGCTAAAACTACCAATTAATGAGTTTGATACACCCCAATGGTTCTGGCCCTTGGTAAATTCCATTTTGTGTTCTGAGAAGCCCTGCAAAGCAAGTAACTTAGTTGTGTTTTCTGTTCTCTGATTACTGCCGTTGCCTCTTCAGTACGCTCTCCTGCACATCACAGGTACCATTCATAAGTTTGGAGTAAACACAGTGTACACAGAGGCAGGTGGTCTCAACTCCTCAGGGGCCCTGTCTTATGTGAGGCCCAGGTTCGTGGAGGCAAAGTCCAAGTGTGTGTGTTCCCCAGAGATGCAACCACTTTGCCATCTGCTTGGATCTAGAGTGGGCAACCTGGGCTCACCTGGGCCCATTCCAGGGTCATTCATTCATTCATTCATTAGCACCCCTATACCTCCTGATCCCCAATCACCCCCCTAAGAAAATGTAACAACCCCGAAGCATTGACAAATAATACAGACTCTCCTGAAGGTTAGGGTGTCACCAAGAAGGCAGCCGCATCTTAGCCCTCCCAGGACAATTAATCCAAAGCCCTCACTGTACATCTCTATTCTTTCAGGCTCTCTCTCTCTCTCTCTCTCTCTCTCTCTCTTTCTCTTTCTCTCTCTCTCTCTCTCTCTCTCTCTCTCTCTCTCTCTCTCTCTCTCTCTCTCTCTCTCTCTCGTCCTTGTCTCCAGCTTTCTACATCCCCTCATCCTCTACAAGCTCCTTTTCTATCTGCTCCTCATATTTATTCCAGCCTCCTCCTTCCTGGACAAGTGAACATCCTTTTTTTTTTTTTTTTTTTTTTTTTTTTACTGTGGAACAGTTATGAAAGCTCAGCTCCAGACCCAGATCTGCCACTAATTCACCTGTTGACCTTGAGAGAGCCCCCAACCTTCCTGCCACTCACTCTTCTCGCCGGCAGCATGGAGGCAGTCAGAGTAGACAATGCCCACGTCCTGTGGGTCTGCTAGTTCAGTTCCCCACTCACTAAGAAGCTTTTCCAATGCCCTTATTTTTATCAGAGGGCTAGTGTGGATGTTCTGGGAAGAGATCAGGTCTGTTGAGTGGATGTGATCATGTGTGTGAGGCAAGTGCCCTAAAGGGTCTCATAATTAATTTTTTGAGTGTGTTATGACCACTGCATTAGATGAGACAAGCACAGGAAAAATCCCCTACATTTCACAGTGGTTTTTGCCTCCAAAGTTCTTTTTATAAGCAGTGTAATGTGATCATTTTGCACTTCTGATGGGGTAGATAGGATAGGGTGATAGTTCAATTTTACAGACGCAGAAAATGAGGTTCGGAAAGAGCGAATGATTTGCCGAAAGTCACATTACCAGAAAATGAGCCGGGACATAATTCTTGCCTTCTGATCTTAGACTGATAGCCTTGACAAAGAGGAAAGCAGCCCCAGACATCCAGGGGCTGGACGGGAACTCTCAGCCAGGCCTTCGGGTTTGCCCATTTGACCATAAATAATTGTCACAGAGCATCAACACCAGACAAGGCCACTCGGTGGCCAGGAAGGATAAAGACAAAACAAAGACAGCTCAGACAGAATGAAAACATCTATCCAAACCACAGAAATGACCAAACATTCCTCTAACCTAGCTAATAGGACTGTTGTTTCTTTATCCATTACACATTTGGCATGGCTCTGGTCTTCCCTACCTCTAGAAAAGACTTATTAAGATACCAATCATATAATTACCCCCACTTCCTGACAGCAGCTAATTCCAAGCAAAGTCTTGCTTCCTTAAACCCAGCCCTAAATAGCCTAATATAAGGCCAAATACTATATAAGTCCTTCCTTATTATCGACATGTCTCCTGTGGTTTCCCCGAGTGTGCGTCTCCCTCATAGCAATGAATACTAAACCCAGCTTGTTCAACAACTGCTGTTTTCCTGGCCATTTTTGTCTGGAAAGCATGAGGACTCTTTTACTCCTACTTTTTATTAATAATGAGAAGGAAGCAAAAATTCTATATCAGAATCTCCTGGAAAATTCTGTTAAATATAAGATTTTTCGACCCTAACCAAAAATTTTTTTTTTCTGTATGAATTTCCAGGCCAAACAATAAATTTCTTTTGACCTAACCTGGACTTGATGAGGGTGATGACACTGGGCTTAGTCTGATGAACTTCACGTGTTCAGGTAGCTCCAACTCAGGCAGACTGAATTGTCTCCTTCCTGGGTTTTTTATTTTTAGGCATTCTAGCACATTAACTTGTTTTACTTTTCACATAGTACCTAAAACCCTATTTATTTATTTATAAACTAGAGGCCCAGTGTACGAATTTGTGCACTGCTGGGGTCTAACTGGCCTGCCCCTATCAGAGCCGATCTGGCCGAGCGGGCTGGGAGGAGGGGCCGCAGGTGGTTGGCCTGCCGGCCCCACCTCCTGGTCGAACTCCCGGTTGAACTCCCGATCGAGGGGACAATTTGCATATTAGCCTTTTATTATATAGGATGTTTCAACTTTTATGCACTTGTCTCCATCAGAAGATAAGTGTTTTAGGATCAGGCGCCTTGTCCTTTTTATGCTGCCATAGTCCCACCTTCAAGAATAGTCTCTGTTGTTATATGATAAACCCTCTGAAATTTATCTTTTATGGAATAAAATTCTAGCATAAAAGCTTCAACAACTTCCTAGGCAAGTCACTGCAAGATATTATAATCTTTCCTGCCAGGAAAGGATCTATATTCTGAGGAAACAGACTTGTCTGGTGTCAGATGCAGCCAGTGGGTCAAGGGGACAGAGTGGGACAGATTTCAGCTGAATGTAAAGCCCCCCTTTTACAACAGTTGGAGGTGGTCAAAGATAAGCTGGTTACTTCATGAGGTGGTGAGCCTTCTGTGCCTTGATGTAGTCAAGCTGAAATCTACAAGTATGTGAAAGTAATTTGGTGGTTAAGCTGAGAGAAATCTCACTCGGGCATTAGTTTGGAAAAAGGACATGATAGCCTTTAAAATCTGAGCCTGAGAGCATATGATAAAAGGTAATTGACAAGACATGGCTGAAGTCATGAGCCTGATTTTCGTGGTTGACTTCTGAAAACCAATCCACTGACATCAGAGTCCAATGCAATCTTGTCAGACGTATGCGCTCTATGAAAAGTTCTTCGTAATTGAATGCAATGAGGCTAATGTATTCTCCCTCTCTCTCTTCCAGGTCCAAAGGCCGTAGAAGCCTACGGCCAAAGGTTTGAAGTAAAGACAGTTTCTGGAAAATTGCTCTTCTCTGCAGATAACAATGAAGTGGTCGTCGGAGCTGAGAGATTGCGAGTTTTAGGTAAGGAAACATTTTCATTGGTCTGATGCTACTGTGTCCATTTGAGAGCAAGAGTGGAATGGTGTCTAGAGAAGTGATTTAGGCCAATTACCTGGATTCGCTTTTACACTTTATGTTGAATTGAAATTCTACTAAAAAAAGAAAAAAGAGGCTTGTGTTCATGCTCAGTGGGTTGGTTTTGGTTTGGCTTCTTTGTAGTCATGCTTTCTGAACATGGAGATGTGAGGTGATAAATCCCAAGCATGGAGCCCTTCAATTCTAAAATCTTTATGGAAAGTCTGTTACTTGAACCCAAACCAAAGTACTCTCATTGCCTCTTTTCTAAAAGTTCAGGGAAAATATATTACTAGGTCAGACTTTGCATGATGAGGGAGGATCAGTCGACTCTGTGCTTATTTTTAAACTGGATTTTAAAATTGGATCATATACATAGCAGTAAGGAATGAGCCGCTTTTTCTGTGCACTCTATAGTTTTGTAGTTCTTATTCTAAACTTAAAATTTCAGTTATTCCTAGTGGAAAAAACTAGAAGCCACCATATGCAGATGACCCAGTGAGCTGGGGCTGCTCTCCCACAATCTTTCAGGTCCCAGCCATTCTCATCTTCCTCCTGAATTATTTGGAAATGGTCCTTTTTTTTTTGCACCTTCTAATTGTAGAATTGGTGGTAGAAGATACTGTGATATGAATCATCTCTACTTCTGTATCTATATGTCACAGTATTCTTTTGCCCTGTCCTCCTCTCTGCCGCCTATAAGATATACTGTATGTCATCATTATATTAATATATTAAAAATCTACAAATCTGTTTTTCACTTTTTATACTGTTGGATACTTATGAAAACTTTTACTGGGTTACTGAAAAAATTTAGTCTTATTAGAAAATTTTTAAAAAATCACCTAAGGAAATTCTGAAAAGTTTAGGTTCATAGATCCAACTGTGACTTACTGAGGTAGGAGCTCTGGTGAAAGGGCCCAAGAATGTGTTTGTAAAAACACTTGCAGACCCAGGCTGGTGTGGCTCAGTGGTTGAGTGTCTGTCCATGAACCAGGAGGTCAGGGCACGTGCCTGGGTTGTGAGCTCGATCTCCAGTAGGGGGAGTGCAGGAGGCAGCGGATTAATGATTCTCTCTTATCATTGATGTTTCTATCTCTCTCTTCTTCTCCTTTCCCCTCTCTGAAATAAATAAAAATGTATTTTAAAAAAACACTTGCAGAAATTTCTGTGGTTCCATAGTTGGAAGCATTGAATCTGAGTACACAAGAAATTAGTGTTTTGTGGCTGTTCCGGTGCTTGGCTGACCTGGATCTTAATCCCTGCTCTGTCATCTTTTAGCTGTGTGACTTTGGCTAGTTACTGACAACCTAGCCAGTTTTCTTTTCTTTTCAATTGGAGTAAGAACATCTACCATCTCAAATTACTCCTACAGTTAAATGAGATTATATTATGTGTAGTTATCACTGTGCCTACCTCAAAACAGTACTCAGCCAATAATAGCTGCTGCTGCTGTTAATACTCCTGCTACTGCTTCTATTAATAATACTAATACTACTTTTCCTTCTATTGATCCCTAAGAGTCTCTGAAATGCAGGGGTTACTAGTAAAAGCTCAGAAATTAACCCACTATGATTTTAACCCATCTATATCCTTTACTAGCTGTGTGCCTTTAAGTAAGTTATCTAACTTCTCAGTGCCTATGTTTATTCATCTACAAAATGGGGGGAAGATTAATAGAAGTATATACCTTCTAAAATTCTTGAAAGGATTGAATGAAATAATCTATGTAAAGTGGGTAGTAAGTTGGCTAACAAATAAGTGTTGACGAAGTGCTGGCTGGAAATTACTATTTGTTCTCAGTATTATTAGTTTCACTAAGCATCTCCTTTCTCCTCCATCACTGCTGTCCTCCTCCTGGTCACTGCCTTTGCCCTCAGTCAATCAGCTTGTCTGGTCTGTTTCTCTCTCTCCTACTCTCCCTCTCCCTCCTCATCAATCATCCCACCCTCCACTCTCCCACCTGTATTTGTCCCTGACTTCCCTATCACTGGCCCCATTATGCTCCCCTGTCAGTCACAAAACTTCAGCATCATCCTGACCAACATCAGACTCAGCAGAATCATAAGATGGAAGTGGCTGTCCTGAGGGGGTTCTTTGGAAGTGAGAATTCAGGGTGCAGAGGCAGAGTGGAGGACAGCTAATCCCTGGTCAGGTGCCCCCCTGTGGTATGAACTGGAACAACACTCTGTCATCTTGCTTTTTCCAGTCTATAGTATGCGAGTTGGTTGTCTAGAGAAGAAGTTTAATTTTTTTTTAATTCAGCAACAAAGCCTTTTAAAAATAAAATTTTATACCAAACTCCAATAAATAAAATATATGAAAGGCCAGGACTGCTCTGGGTTGTGGGTGGGGCTTTGGAGGGGCAGGGGTCAGAGATTAGAGGCATAGCTGCAGAGTTTCATTCTTTCCCCCTTTATGTACTACCTCTTAGTGCTTATTTTTAAAACCTCTTAAGTGCATGGTCTTTAAAAAATAAAGTCTGTTGACCACTTGTTGTGCTCCAGGTACCATGCTTCCTATGCATTCTTCCATCTACATCTGTGAGGTAGGCACCGATTTTGTCACCCCCATTTTACAGGTGACAGAACTCAGCCCTGCACAGTAAAGGCTGGGAGCCAGGAGTTCTGAATGCAGACTGCTTACTTGAAAGCATTATACTTTCCTGCCTCCTCAAATGTATCCCATATTCAGATGAGTAAACTAAGGCTTGAAAAAAATGAAGAAAGTTGCCCAAGATCACGTTCAAATCCTTGCCTTTGGACTCCAGCCTCAGTGCACTTACCTGCATGTAAATATGTTAGTTCTAAGACCCTTTCCAGCTCTCACAGTTAATAGGTTTTCCCTATTATTTGTAGAAATGGCACTTTCCATGGTAGTGCTAGATTTGGGGCTTTAATCATACACACACACACACTTCAAGCTGTTCTCTTATTCAAGACTACTTTGCTCTACCAGTTGTAAAGTAATTGCCCAGGGGAAAGAGTGATGGTATCTCATGCCAAGATCCTTTTGTACAAATGGTGTTTGGCACTTCCCATTAGTTTCTCAGTGCTTCATGAATCAACTCGCTGCTTTTAAATCTGACTTTGCAGAGATACCGAGTAATTGTAGATATCCCAACCCTTTGGTTGAATCTTAGTGTACAAAACTATACTGGTATCGCTGAAGAACTTTCCTCTACCCACCCCACCACTATGCAGACTAAGGGCTGAAAAATTATTGGAGTGTTTGGTCTCTTCAAGGCAGGTGGATGTTGTTGTAATTGTTACTTATGCTTGCGATGGGTCTCTTCAAGATGATTTAGGATAAAATCTGTCTCTCTCCGTCATTAGGAGCATTTGTTTTTTATGTAAAGGCATAGAAAGAAAGCATCATGATAAAGACCAGTGCTGAGATTAGGAAATGACCGCCCCACAAATCTCACGTCAGCCTACTCAGTGAAATGAGCCTCTTGGGTTGCAGAAACGAGCTTCCTGTCAGCTGGGAGACCACCATATGGTGCGGAACAAGAAATTTAGGCAATTTCATCTTCAGCTTAGTGAGAAGTTTGTCTTTTGTCGTGGTCAGACTGCCAGACTAACCTTACAGAGAGGGCACTGGCTTATCACCTTGATTTATAGAAGAGCAAACTGAAGCACAAAGTGAAACGCAGCTTGACCTAAGTTCCACAGGGGAAACTGGTGGAGTCAGGATCTGAACCCGGGCAGTCTTACCCATGACACTCAATGGCCTCTTTCACAGTGACCTTCAACTTCTCCAAATTCCACAGCACGTGGGCATCAGTGTGAGTGGGAAAGAACAGGGCCACAGTTGTTCAGCTGTTCCTCTGCTTTCGCCTTCCCTATACTCTGTGGTTCCCACAGTTCTCCCACATCTGACTTTCTCTGCTCCCCTCACTGATGCTGCTTTCACCAAATAAACTATGTGCATTCACACTTGGCATCACATGTAGCCACCCCCACGGCCCAGTCCTAGTTTTTCTCTTTTCACATTTCTGTGGGAAATTACATACAGTTGCAACATTTGCTCTTTTCAGCTGACCCCCAATCCTGTATTTGCCTTGAACTGTCTTCTCAATTCTCATTCCAAATTCCCAGACAGGCTGGGCTTTTCTGCATGGCTATCTTTCCATCACTTCGACTTCATCACCTGCAGCTGAACTTATGTCTCCCGACCAAGCTCCCGCCTCTCCAGAACCCACTTCCTTCATTCTCCATATGGGGCCACCATTCCCTTCATCTCCAAGGCCTTGCTTTTATTCGGGTACTGGACCCGGTCTTTCTTCATATGGGCATGTCTGTACCAATTTTGAGTTTTCCATATTACAAAGATATCTAATTAAGTCTGACACAAGAAAACTTATATCTGTAGTCAGGCCCATCAATTACCCAAAAAGGTATCAAATTCGTGTGCAAGATGAGGTGTGGTAGAGTTTAATTTTAATTACAAAACAAAAATATTAAATATGGTACAGGAATGGTCTATTAAGAGCAGCAAGAAAATTCACAACATAGTCCAGTGCATCGAAGAGGCATCTTGGTGGAGACAGCAGGGAAACATAATTTTGATTTTCATTAATGGCCTATTTCATTGAATAATGAATTGAACATTACAGCATTTATAAACAAAGCATAATTATAAGGTGTTATTCTAATTGCTAATTAGGTCTATTTATACTCTAGATTCCTTTTTTAAATATCGGCTCTAGATGCCACTTGATGCTAATTATCCAAGTTATGTTATCATCAACTGAAAAACAATTTTAATTAAGTCTAAAGCCGTTTAAATTAGCATAAGATTTATAGAACTTTCAATGTGGTCTGATGCTTTTATTATTTTTTAGAAAGACATCAGATGATATATTTAGCCTTTTGAATTAGTTTTTGATGAAACATTCTACTGCAACCTGGCAATTGATAATTATGATGAAAGGAATGGGGTGT